GGTCCTGTGTTTTGTTGGTGTATATTTAATATAGTCCTAATCGCTATTTCAGTCTTTCTATCTTTCTAATTACTTCTCTCTCTGTTTTTCTCTCTGTCTCTATTTTCTCTTCACAAAAAAACATAACGGTGTGGAGAGGATGGCTATAAGGGGAGAAGGGAGGCCATCCAAAAAAAAAAACGGATACTCTTCAGCAGAGGTGTCCAAAGTGGGGCCCGCGGGCCAAAATTGGCCTGCCAAGCCATTTGATTTGGCCCACCACCAGTTGTCCTGGTTATTAGATTGCAATCTCCTGTCCTGTGTAGAAACTCTATATTTCCAATTTTCAACTATTGGTCCAACTATAGGTACAAGGAGCTGAAATCTGAAAGTCTTAACTCATGGTACTCACTTTATCCTTGAATTATGTTAAGATTGAACATAAAATACAAGTAACTACAAGAGACATTTAGATTTAAGCGCACATCTAGATTTGCACACCTTATACTCATACCACACTTATACCACATAGTATACTCAAATTTAAATTTATGAAAATCCCATGAGCCTTTGCTGCCCGAGAGCATGTTGAATTTTCTCCATGTCATGACATGTCTCCATGTCCTACAAAAAAAAAAAAAAAAAAAAAAAAGAATGTTGGCAACCACACTGGCTGCTAGCTTATTCATAAAAATAAAACAACTTAAGAAGTATTTGCATTTCATGTATTACATTACCGCATTTGGCCCGCGGCCCTCAGACTGATTTTAATTTTGGCCCTCTCAGGGAAAATGTTTGGGCACCCCTGCTCAACAGGCTATACTTCACTAAATGAAGAACAAACATGTTTTAATCAAATCTGCACCTAATATACTGTAGAATTTGTTCAAATGACAACACAAGCTTTGTTGATCAGCAGATCAACAAAGTTTCTATCTGCTGAGCCTGCTGAGGCATTTGAAAATGAAAAAGATAAAGTAAATACTAATTGTCACTATTTATCCTGTTCTACCATACATATACATTGCCGTCTGAATTAGTTTAATATGCTTTATAA